AAAATGTTGACGGTGTTACTATGGCCTACCAAAATGTGATAGATTTTATGCTTGAATACCATCATTGAAACTACTAAGGTGCCATTAGTTATTCCTTCTATATCTATATGAGTGAAGGAGATGGGCTCATGCTAAGGCATAGGATTCCTTATAATGATGAGGGTCAAAAATGCCCTTCTTTTCTTTTTATTGGACTCTATCATGGCAAATTGTCTACCTAAAATCATATTAATTTAAGGAAAATCTTTCTCATGAGGATTTTGCCTAAGATTAGCTCCATCTAGTTTAGGCCTTCTATCTTAATGATTTGTATGAGGTATCCCTCAACTATTAATGTTCTAGTGATATAAGTCGTACCACTTTTGATTGTAGAGGTGTGAATTACCTTTCATTGGAGTTAGATGACTAATGTATTCCTGTCCTTGTGTGATTATAAATACCACTATATGAGAGACATTCAAAAGAATTATAAGGATTTCTAAGAAGACTAAACGACTATGTACGGGCGTTTAGGATTTCTTTTGGACTAAAATGGATGGCAAAGACTTTTTTTCACTTATACTTTCTTTATTGGTTTTTGAAAGTGTGTGCCTATTGCTTTATCTATCCAAATATAGCTTTCCACTACTTTCTAGACTTGGTAGAGGTTTTTGTTACAGAGAGCATAGATTTTCTTCCACAAGTTGACATCAATAACCTTTGATATGAGGGCTTCAATTCCTATGGGTTCCAACGGACAATCAGCCCTTATCATTTTTTTATGGAAGTGAGAGAGGTAGGATTGGATGCTCTCTCCCTCTCTTTAGAAGGCTAAAAACAACTCTCTTAAGCTTCTTTTAGTAGGAATATTGATGGAGAAGTGAGCCACCAGCTTAGAGCATAAGTCTTCTAAACCGAAAACCAATTAAGGGTTTAAGTTGTTGTACAACTTCTTAAAAAAGGATAGAAAGCACTTTGCACATTGGGTCCGAGCTCCTTATAACTAGCTTAAATTTTATCGGATATTTTAAAGGTTCTCGAGGTTCTGTCATTCCATCATAAATGTCTAGATTCACCTTTCTAAAGGAAAACTCCCATAGAGTTTGATGTTCAAGATACAAGGTTGAATAGAGAAGCTTGGAGCTTATGACTCGTAGTGGTTCGATTCATGTTAAACGGTGACTATAAATCTTTTATCCGCCCATTGACATTTAGGTTTGGGGTTTATTGAGAAGGTTTGGAAGGAGAAGCTATCCTTGTGATAGTTTGTGTGTCTATTCTTAGTAATGTTGTGTCTCGTTCTTGACTCCGTGATGATATTTAGTTTTATCATCGCTCTTCCATTCCCTTCAAGATTCCTAACTAGCTAGTCTTTTGCCATGATGGAGGGAGTGATTTCTTTAAGGTTTTAGGGAAAGGCGATGTTCCTTTTGTTTGGTTCCTCTCTTATTATTCTTAAATGTTTCTTCTTTGGCTAAGGGTCGGGATGGTCTATCTTGATGTAAGGGGCTTGCGTGTGGCACAACTATTAGAGGTGGTGCATATGAAGGTGATTGTTGTATTTAAGGTAATGGTAACGAGTGGTTAGAGACTTCATCTACTTTTCGGTCGATATGCACACCTTAGTTAGTAACTCAACACATTGTTGTAGTTGTAATGCATTGATTGGTAAAGTGCTAGGACTAGCAAAGTTGGATGGTGTTGAATGTGATGGAGTTTCCCGATTATCATCCATCAAAAACCTTGAAGGTGGGAAAATATAATATTTTAGGATTGTTTTTTTACTAAATTTCTCACAAACAATGCTACTCGATGAGTTCAAAACATTTTGCTTAGCAAATAAATTTGATTGTATTAATTACATATAAATCTGCTAAGCAAAATTTTTTGATTTATATATATATATATTAAAAAAATAATCAATAATATTAGCATAAAAAGTTGTATATGAATAATTGAAAGGTTATTTCAAAACATTATTTTAATTATTTTATTTAAAAAAATATTGATTTTAGAATATTAAAAAAGAATAAATAAAAAATAATTAGTGTTATGTGTGCGGATATATATATATATATATATATATATATATATATATATATATATTATGATCATACTTAGTAGATTGAAAAAATCTACTTAGTAGATACATAATTAATATATATACGAGTATATAGTATAAATGATTTTAAAAAAAATAAATTGTGTGCAATACATTAAAGTCGATAGATTGAAATAAAAATTATTACAAAATTGGTTTCCATAAATTTTACTTCTTAATTTATAATAAAAGAGATTCTTGAACTGCAAATTAAATTATAAATTATAAATTGGTTCATCTCGTTTTAAGAAATGAATTAATTAATTCTTTTGATTTCAAAAATAAAATTTTTTATTTTTTATGAGTGTTGACCATGAATAATTTATTTTTTATTTTATAAAATGTCTTATTTTTTTATATTTTTACTTATTTTTTTATTCCTTCTCTATTTTTTAAACAAAAAAATAAAAACATTAAAACAACAAAAAAGGCAAAAAAATATATATTTTTTTTGAACCACGAGGACTAATTAATTTGTTTCTCGAGGAAAGAGGGGCTAATTTATAACCACTCTTGAATATCAAGTGACTTTGGCTTCCTTGTCGAAAATAAAAAAAATAAAAATTGGAAGAAGGCGAAGCATTAAATGCTCAATCTAAAAAAAGAAGAAAATGATGAAAAAGACCCAAAAATAAAATTAAAAAGAGAATCAATCAAGAGTAAAAATGAAGTTTCTCAAATCCATCGAGTGTCAAAAAGAAATTAACAAAAAGATAGGGACAAAAATCAAACAACACAATGAATAGTGAATATAAGTCTAAACAAATAGTAAATATCTCAGCTTTTTTAGGTTTTTCCTACTAATATATATTAAATTAAAAATAAAAGACAAATTTTATTTAATTTCATAATTTTTAATCAAATTTTGTATTTCAAGTCATGCTTATTTATGTTTTTCATAGATTTTTTTATTAAAAAAACATGAATTGTTTTTTCAATTCATTCATTTTTAAATAAAAGCCTATAATAATATAAATATAAAATTTTTAAAATATCTTAATATTTTTTATAAGGGTATATTAGAAAAATATATCAGCAATCTATAAAAAAATTATATAAAAATTAACTAATGAATTTTTAAAAAAATTTTAAAAATATGTACATTTGATATATAGATACGTGCACACAAAACAATCAATAATATTAGGTATAAAAGCATGTATTTGAATTATTACGTGGTTCCTTTAAAATATTATTTTATTTAAAATAAATTAAACTTAGAATATTAAAAATAAATAATAGGAAATAGCCGATATTATATGTGTAAATGCAAAATTAATTTTTAATAAAAGCAATGATTTCGATACTTTTTTGTATACATCATTACCATCTCTATATAAATCAAAAAATACGATTAAAAAAACTTAAGTTGCAAGAAATATATTAAAGTTAATAGAATATAATAAAAATAATTTAAAATTTTAATCCAAAAAAATTAATTATATCAAGAATAAGGTAAAGAAACACGTGAATTCTATTATTTATTAAAAAAATATTAAAAATTCATATATAGAGAAAGATAAATCATATTTATTAACAAATAAAATTCTATAAAAAAAATTAAAAATTTAACTTGACAATAATTTTTATAATAAACAAAAAATTTAAGAGATTAATTTTAATCAATAAAAAATATAATCCAATATATATGTTTATTATAAAATTTAAAAACATAAGAAGCCAAAAACATCTTTTAAAATATGAGGAACAAAAAATATATTTTGAAAAAATGTGAGAAAATATGGATTAAGTTAAAAATATGAGATGTCAAAATATTTTAAAAAATATGAGGATTTTAAAATATATTTTGAAAACATAAGAGACCAAAAAAGAATGAAGTGTAAAAATTTAAAAATGAATGTCCAAAAGGTTATAAAAAATTATGAAAATGCCATTGTAAAACATTTTAAAAAGTGTCATACTATGAATAGTGAAAGAAGGCAAATGAATAGTAAATAAATAGTTTTTTATTGTAAAATTTAAAAACATAAGAAGCCAAAAACTTTTTTAAAAAATATGAGGAACAAAAAATATATTTTGAAAAAATGTGAGAAAAAAATGGATTAAGTTAAAAAATGAGTTGTCAAAATATTTTTAAAAATATGAGGATTTAAAAATACATTTTGAAAACATATGGAATAAAAAATAATGAAGGGTAAAATTTAAAAATGAATGTCCAAAAAATTATAAAAATTACAAAAATACCATTATAAAAAATTACAAAAATGTCATACTATGGATAGTGAATCAAAACAAATAAACAATAAATAAATAACGTTTTACTATTTATTTGCCTCACTTCTTTTAATTCTGTTGTAATAATAATATGTTGAATACCAAAATAATGTCTTTACAAACAATACCACAAGCATCGTAGAATTTATCTAGGATGCTAACTCCCATCTTGCAAGAGGTTGGCATTTCAATTTGAGTCAATTTACGAATGTAGCCTGTATTTTTCATTACATTCATGTTGGATTTGGCTATGGTAAAGTGAATTAATCAATAAATTACTCGAAACCATATTTGATTGCATGTACGAACATAACGTTTGATGGAGGCCAACCCTCGCCCCATCACGTTTTTACTTACTACTAGCACACCCAATCAGAGACAAATTTTATAGTGCGAGAATATGAATAGAAAACACATGAAGTCTCTGGAACATGTAGGAATTGTCCCTCCTAATTGCATGCTACTCTCAAGACAGCTCGAACCTTCCTATTTAGTCAAGATACACGGTACCAGAATGTTCAAGAATCAAAAACTATAGCCTATATAAATCCAAGCATGGACTCTTCTATCTCAGCCAGGAAATACAAAAACACATTACATCACTTGGTTTGTCAACTATTAATATCAGTCCCTTAAAACCACTCGAAAAAAAAAAAAAAAAGGGAGTGCAAGAAATTATAGAAAAATGAGGCAGTACTCACTTGCCTTCTCATTTTTGCTCGTTCTCTGCCTTGTTAGGTTCTCTAATGCATCTCTCCTGCCATTCTCAGACCGTCCTGGGAGTTCCCTTACTGATCTGTGGCTGGATCGTTTCCCAGACCCCTTTAGGGTCTTGGAACAGATCCCACTTGGGCTCGACAAGGACGAATCTGTGGCACTCTCTCCAGCCCGAGTAGACTGGAAAGAAACACCCGAGGGTCATGTTATCATGCTCGATGTACCAGGATTGAGGAAAGAGGAGGTGAAGATTGAAGTTGATCAGAATAGGGTGTTGAGAGTGAGTGGAGAGAGGAAGAGAGAAGAAGAGAAGAAAGGGGATCACTGGCACAGAGTGGAGAGATCGTATGGGAAGTTCATCAGGCAGTTCAAGCTGCCCGAGAATGTGGACTTGGATTCTGTGAAGGCTAAGCTTGAGAATGGGGTGCTTACTCTCTCACTTGCCAAGTTGTCCCCTGACAAAATCAAGGGTCCTAAGGTGGTTAGCATTGAGGGAGGAGAAGAACCAGCCAAGCTCAAGAGTGATGAGGCGAAGCAAGAGCTTTAGATGTTCTTCCATAAATTGATAGTCACAAAAGCTGAGATCAGTAACACCTGTTTGTGAGAAAATAAGGGATGTTTTCCTTGTCGATCTTGTAATTTTGTTATGTTTGTTCTACCTTGATTTTGATGTAATGTATGCCATCTATGATCAAAATCTAAATATAATATAGCTTCTCTTTATAGCCATTTCCTGGCAAACAATCAGCTGAATCAGAAATTCTCACACGCGGCCTGATTTCTCTGTATTGTTGGTGGTCGGATCCCTTTGGGCGCATGAACTTCGAAACTCTGTTTCTTTTAGATCTTTTTTTTCTTAAAAAACAAAAATAAGAAAATAAATCCCTAAGAAATAATAATACTTACAAAAACTAAAACAAAAAGTGAGAAGCATCAATGAAGGTTTTTTTGGGCCAGTTTAATGGTAAATGTTACCATTGGGTTAAAATTCATACTATTAATCCGATTTATTTAGACTTTAAATTATTATTTTTCAAATGTTATTATTTTTTTGTTGTTTGACAGTTATAATCTTGAGGGTTAATTAAAATATGATTTATTTTTTTTAAATAAAAACTATATTGGTAATTTTAGTTATTTGAATTTTAAATTATAAATTTTATTGTTACATTATTTTCATTTTTAGTGGTTAATATGCTTACGACAATGTACGCAAGTAGTTTAGATTTTTCTAACAATTAAAATTTATTTTTATAAATAATAATTTATTTTTTAGATAAATAGATTCATTGTATATCACTAATTATTAAAAAATTAAGATGTATAAATAAAAAGTCACTCAATATATCTTAAAGATTTATTATTAAATATTTTAAAATTAATTTTATTCTAATTATTTTTTTTATTTAGATAAAATTATTACACATCATTAATTATTTAATGATTAAAATTATTGTCATAAGTATTTTAGATTTTTTTTAATAATTAAAATGTTTTTAAATAATAATTTTTTCAACAAAATGGATTCATTGTATATCATTAATTTGTTAATTAGTTAATAATAAAAATAAGATGAATAAACAAAAAGTCATTTAATCTATCTTAGAGATTTATTATTAAATATTTTTTAAATTAATTTAATTTTTCTAATTAGATGAATTTATTAAAAATCATTAATTATGCAATGATTAAAGTCAAATCCATAAATAACAAAATTATTTTAATTTTTTAAAAACTAATTATTATTAAAAAATTAAAATTATATTTAATTCTCAAAAAAAAATTAACATTTTGATTGTCATAAATAATAAAAAAAATAATAAATTTTGTTTAAAAATTAATAATTTAAGATTTAAATAATCTAAACTGATAGTGTAGATTTTATTTTATTACAATTTTAATAATTTAAAAATAAATTTTACTATTAAATCATATTTTTTTTAACAATCAACATTTTGATTGTTAAAATAATAACGAAATGATTATTTAAAAAAAATTTAGGTTTAAATAATTCAAACTAATAGCATAAATATTAAATTATCATAACTTCAATAATTTTTATCATTAATGTTGATTGTTAAAATAATAACGAAATGATGATTTAAAAAAAATTAGGTTTAAATAATTCAAACTAATAGCATAAATATTAAATTATCATAACTTCAATAATTTTTATCATTAAACTTTTTCGTTTCGAGCTAGAGTTAAAAAGTCAGTAAGTCCCAGGAGTGAAATTTTTATAAATTTGCAAGTTCCTTTTCTTTTCACGAATCAACTCATCTACGAAGTGGAGGAAGGAGAGGCCAGAAATAAACAAAATATAAATATTAAATTTCTGTGTTCTAACAGTTGGGGTGGTGGCGCAGTTGGCTAGCGCGTAGGTCTCATAGCTTCTGAGTTATCCTGAGGTCGAGAGTTCGAGCCTCTCTCACCCCATTTTGTAGTTTTTTTTCCCAACTAGTCTCCCCCATGTCCTATCCCATTTCGTTTGGCCATAATCAATTATGCAAAACTTCAATAAAAACCTATTCGGGTGGATGTGTTTTAACAAATTAAGTACTTGCAAGTTCCATCATCTTATTATTTTCAGGAGAAAGGCACGTTCTAATTCTCTCCACACACAGGACTTGAAAAGCCCAAGAGAGGTGAGAAGGATCTTTCTACATTGCTATTAATATGAACCCATGCTCTCCTTTGTCATTATAATTTTCCTGTTAATAAGGCCTCGAGGGCAATTAAGCGAGCAGAAGGCTTTAGTCAATCTCTTCGTATGAAGATGACATGGAAACCATTCTTTCCCACCTCTATATCAAATCATATACTTCTTGTGGTAGGTAGCTTCATTAGAAGTGATAAAACGCTGGCTGCCAAAGAACGAGACCACCCAAACCTAGGATATATCATTGCTAGCATCACCGAATTTGCAGTCAGACAACGAGTTTTCACTAGAAGCAGATGATAGAGTATAGTTGTCCAGTTCTTTACAAAACTATCTTTATGATAAAATCCCTTAACCCTTTGCAGAAATAGCTGCACCTCTAGGTCTTTATGAAACAGATTTAACAACGACAGATTGGAAACTTTGATTCCCAATGGGGATTATAGGAGAGGTGAAAAGTCTGCGAAATAACAATCATGACACCCTGACACAAACAAAGTCAAGGGAGAAGAATCAATCTGCCACCCTAATTTGGTATGTAAGAATTCAAACCTATTAGCACCAGAATTTAAGATTAGTTGACATTTTTCTGAAACAAAAACAACAAATAGACAGTAAAACAAAAACCTCCATTCAGACAACAAATGCAATTAAGTGAAACTAATAAATTTAGCTCCCAAACCAAATTGTGGAAAAAAGTGATAAATTCTTCCTTCATGTCTTCTTTCTTCAGAGGGCAGTAAATTTAAGATTAAGAAATACAAGTAGAAATTCAAATTTAGAAATCAAATAAATTCAGGTTACCTATTTTCAGTTAGTGTTTGTAGGACTTCAGTAGCTTGAGCTAATTAAAGTAAACCAGATTTTCCAATCTTTCCCTGATTCATTGGCTCCAAATTAATCAACAGCATAGATCCAAGATTGATAAACTTTGTAACAGCATATTAACTTTCTGTGTGTCAAAGTAATCAAAGAGGCCATCTAAATCGCACAAGCATAAATAGTATAGATGAGTTTAGAGAGACCATTAACAAGCCTAGAAGCCTAGAGGCACCAGGCCTACTTTGCCAAAGAGCTATATGCATCTTAGATTCGTACACGGACAGATTGTACAGTGGATGTTATTGTTCTGACCTTTCCCTATGCCTTTAAAAAAGTTCAAAATCACCAGGAGAATATCTGATCATGCCTCGGAAGCCAATGATCAAGAGATTAGGAAACCTCTGACCATGACTAGATATTGAAAGATCTGATCATGGTCTGTGACCTAATGTATCTCAGTATATGCCTTTGGGATTTTCTTCAAAAACATTGAGGAAAGCACAGGTATCGTATATAGGTTTTTAAGTACCTTTCATAGTTCTAAATTGCAGATGAGGTCGTAAAAATGGTCGCAATCGTGATTCTGGCTTGCAACTTATTGCGATAGTAAAATAACGATAGCAACAACCGAGGTCATAAATTTATTAGCGGGCTAGCAACGGCTGATAAATCTATTCTAATTCATATATTTTTGCAGTTTAACTAATCAAGCATAATAATAAAATCAGTAATAGTTTAATACCATACAATAATATTTGAATTTATTACAAAAGAAAGTTAGTAACGCTTCAATAGTTTAATATCATACAAACAATAATGAAATATAAAGAATAAAATAAATAAAATAAAAATAACGGCCAAATAACAGCGTTATATAATGATAACGTAGTACAATGCCGTTATTTTTGTGAAACGTCCACACTCTTTATAACGACGTATAACGGTAACGAGCATGTCTAAATCCATTAAATAACGATCATTACGTTATATAACGGTCATCATTTAGAACTATGGAACCTTCTGCAGAATTTTTGGTAACATTACATTACAAATTCTATGACTTCTCATTAAAATTCCATAAAAATTGCAAATCACACAATAACATTTCATTAATTACATCAAATTACAATTTTGCAACTTCACAATACTTTCATAATTGTAAAACTAATTGTGAAAAATCATTATATCTATAATAATGCCTTCTACCAAGACATTGTAGAAACATCTACTATTACAATAAAGAGAAATTTTTTTTTCTTTAACAAGAAGTTAACTAGACTAGAGGCATCAGCAGAGACCTCTTTTTTTCTTTTTCTTTTTCTTTTTCTTTTTTCCCAACAACACATTAGAAGAACCTAGAAAGATTACAAGAGATTCGAGAGATAAAGAAATTATGTAAAAGATAAATAGTAAAAAATTTAAAATGGTATAAAAGACAACAACAATGAACAATGTACGAGTCTACTGACTTAACTCCATTAAGCATGGTTTAAGCATGGTGTACTACCCAAGAAAGTCATATACAAACCAGACGATTAAAGAAATAGTAAAAAAATAGTACTAATATTTAATGGTCACTGCATTGGATTTGACATTTTATTGTCCGCTTCTAACATTTTATGATTTTCTGATATAATCTGACATACCTGATTCGCCTATTACCAATCTTTCCCTGATTCCATGGCTCCAAATTAATTAGCAGAATAGATCTAAGATCGATAAACTTAACCTAGAGGACTTCTAACATCCTCCACCATCAAATAAAGATTTACCCATAATGAGGAAAGAAGAAAAATACCGTGTTTCAGGTACAGTTAACCCCCATCTCCGTTAGTGTGATTCAGACAACAATGCAATTGTGCATGTGAAACTAATAAATTTAGCTCCCAAACCAAATAGTGGAGAAAAAAGTACACTCTTTCCTTCACGTCTACTCTTTTCTTCAGAGATCAGTAAATTTCGGATTAAGAAATGATACAATACGCATGTACAATTTCAAATTTAGAAATCAAATAATTCAGGTTACCTATTTTCAGTTAGTGTTTGTAGGACTTCAGCAGCTTGAG